TTTCATTGCAAATTCATACTGGTGCTTATATTCCAGAGAATACGGTATTCATTTTTACCAATTTAATTCTGTCTTTAATGTTGATAATAATAGGCAATAATAAACATCAAGATCACGATCACTGCAGGAACAGGACCCCGCAAACTTCATAGATAGGTCAGTAATAAAAATTCTTGTTTGTTATATGTTTTGACCCAGACCAAAACTAAGTTTAATATGTAAATTGACCTTAAGGTTTGCAATAACATTAGAAAAAAGAACATAATTTGACCCATAATATATACTAACATTAAAATTTTTGAAACTGTCTACTGTTATAATAGAGTCAAATTATTTATAAATTTAAAAATTTATGTATGCATGTAGCACATGAATAATCTATTTTTTGTTAATAAGGAAAAAATTAATTTAAAAAGATACAAACAAAACTCCATGCATGCTGCAAATATATACTATATATATACACATTCAATTAATTTTCAATTTTCAATTTTTCAGCTGCAAGCAGTAACCTATCTACGAAGTTTGCGGAGTCCTGCAGGAACTAAGTTTTATTAAACATGATTTAGTTCGGAAAAAACAAGGTGCATCTTTAATAGACACAGATCCACTAGTGATGGGATAGATTGCCGACCAGATGGTAATTACTAAAGCACACTTTTTGAGACCAGGCAAGAAAGTCAATATTAAGTGCAGCATAAATAATGCAGGCTTTAAAGAAGCAAGAAACAAGATTCAAAAACATTATGCAATTCCTTGTACAATATCAATAATAAAATATCAAGCATACATTAATTATTTATTGTAAAATATGAAAATTATCCATTATTTTCATAATAAATGATGCTAGAGGAGACTTTGGTGGTGTGACTATATGAAAAAGCAGCAACAAGCTTGGGATATGGTTTGTAAGCGAATCACACAAAAAAAAAACCAAATATTAATATAGTTTGTTGTATTCAAAAATAAGCTACCCACCAGGCCCTATCAAACAACTTTTGATGAATTAAAAAAAGGTGTTGTGTATTAAGTTATGTACCAATCAAGTTTGTTCTTTATATTACGAGAGAAAATTTACCCCATAAAAAATCTTGCATGGAAAACATACAGAAAACAAACAGAAAAGCGGAATGTTTTCCGTATGTTTTATTTCTACCAAACTAAAACTAAAACAGAAAATTTACGGAATCTTCCTGTAAATTGTATTTGTTGTATTCACACAACTCAATGTATGTTTTTGTAAAGCAAAAAATATCAAATGTTTCTCGCAACATATGAAACTGGTGGTTACAATAGAAACTTCAGCTAAATTATATTTGACGTATCACGAAATTTAACTTGTGTAAAAGTAATACATAATATAATAATGATAATTCAAATTTGGAAATCAAAAAAAGGCTTCACTTATCCTAGATTTGGTATTTGTTATATGTGGAATTAGATATGAATTTCACGTGGATTTCATTTTCACGCACAAAAGTACCAAGATAAAAAACCAACCATTAATTCTTTATTATTATTGTTGTGACCAAGTTATAACTTGCAATATAAGATGACCAGGATCGTTTGTGTAGATAGGATTAGTAGTGGCGAGGATTCTAGGACTGGATGCGTATTTTATTTATTTAAAAATTTGTATTAACTTTTTTTTTTCGATAAAATAAAAAGTTTGGAACAACTATATATGTATGTAGTAGTACCTTGATTTATTATTGTTTAATTAAAGTTTCTTTTTTTTAAAATAATAAAAATAAAGACAGTTACACTGAAAGTAAATAAGAAAGATTTGCATTATATAATTTTTTTCCTTTCTTCAATTTCCCGAAATGGAATTTCCTTATAATAGGGATCTACGGAATGAAAATCCTTTTTTAACATGTTTTGATTCACGTGGGAAGGTTCGATTGTAACTAAAAGAGAAATTTCAATTTTATTCGAAAAATTACACCAAAAAAGTTCGTTGTCTGTCTGTTGTGATATGAATTAAATATAAATTAAATATCGGAGCACCCAGTTTTGGGAATTTAATCAGAAATCTTCGAAAATGGGGTTTCATTATTCAATTCTGGTTTCTCGAATAATAAAAAAAAAAGTAAACTATTGTTTTCTAAATAAATATTTTTAGCTTTCAGCAAAGAAAAAAGAAAATAATCATACGACGGATGTTCTTTAAAGCATTCAAAATTTACTCAATAAAGATGATTCCGATGATGATCAAGTTAGCATATCGTTATATGTAAAATTAATTATTATATAAGCCAGTCTAATTTAGAGTTTTTAAATCTCAATCAATCAAGATTTATTGTTTCTATTGTTATTGATTCTTTGTACTGATAATAATAAGTTTCCAAATATGTTCAATAATAAAGTAAATATTTGATAGTACGTGACATATTAAATTAATATTTTGATCATCGGATAAAGATTATATATACATTATGACGCGTTCATTATTATTCCAATATTATTGTTATTGGTGTTCTCGGACGATATTTTTAGAAATTTCAATAATCATAAATGAAGGAATCAGAAAGCTTTCATTAAATAGAAAAAATTTGTTTTTATATTTCGTAATGTAAAAATTTTTTTTAATTTACTTTAACAAGTTTTAGAATGATTTGTTTCCCGATTTTAACTCACATATAATAATAAACATTGTCCCCCAAATAATGAGTCGAGAGCTTACAAGAGAATTACTTAGATTGGGGATAGAAAACTTAATAAATTTAACGAATTTAACGAATTATGGAACGTAATAAAGATTAGTTCCCATTGACTTCAAAAATAAGCTATTTAAAAACGAAATTGATGAATGAAAAGGATGAAAAAGAATGAAAATAAACGAACGAAAAAAGCACAAACACGCAATGGATCTGATTCGTTATTTTAATTAATTCGGATATTTCAAGAGCTTTACATGTATTCGGCATCTTTTAAATATTATTAGTTGTCGTAAACTAAAATTAAATTTGCAAATCGTAACTATAACGTAATAGAAAAATAAAATTTAAAATAAAGTTATGTTACATCAGAAAATTTCATTGGTTTTGACAACAAGGTTTTTTGAAGGAAGGTTCTTCGAATTTGAAGCGGTAAAATAGAAATTATGTGAATAAGACCATCACCATCTATGTCTGTGTGTAATCTCTCTTACGGGATTTGCCAGAAAATAATTTATAAATAAATTTGATTTTTATCTTGAAAAAGAAAAGAAAACAGATGAATAGACGGAGATGTAAGTGGTTTTTTTTTTTACGTTTCTTTAAATCTATCCATATCTTTTTTTATAAATGAATTTCCAAAATAAATATATCTATGACCAATTTTGCAGTCTTCATCATATGATAAGGTTCGAGACTGTTTTTCAAATATTTACTTTTTGTGATCCAGAAAATCGTTTCGGGTATCAGTTACCATTACGCCACAATTGAAATACTGCGCATCCGTGTCACACAAATGGCTGACGTGAAAAAAAAAATTATTTCAAAAAAAAATTATGTTTCAACAACAACTTAAAGGATTGGTATGTTTTAATATTAATATGAGATCAGAGTAAATATTAATATTGACTAAATCTTTTAATTAATTAGTTGTTTAAGTAGCTATATTTTAATTAAATGGATAATTGTTAGTTGACAAGTAGTTTATATTCTAATATTTTAGATAACATACTTTAATCCAATAAAATATTCATCAAGAACATTATTTACGTTGACAACTAACCAAAGATCTCTAAATCCAAGATTTAATAATCCATATTTTTTTATCATTCAAATACTTATCAGATAGTTTGAAAAAATCTTTAGACGAGATATTTATTTATTTATTTTAGTTATTTTTAAAGTGGAATCACCAAATGTTGGGAATGATTCATCAGAGGGCTTATTTCATAATTTTAGACTATAAATAACAATGATGTTGTGCTGTTTATGAAAGGTACACCTAATGAACCACAGGTAATTTTTTTTAAGAATTTCCCACATCTTATCATTAAAAGATTATGCATTTTAACACACATGTGATCAACAGATGGATATAGTGCGGATTTAGCGGAGCTATAGTTCTCGAGATATTCACGTTTTCATACATGTTTATTTTATTTATATGTTTAAACGAGTGATGAAATTAGAGTTTTCTTTCAATTCAAGATACTAGTGTTCTGAGCAAATACGAACTGTCTACAATAACTAGAACTTACTCATACGTAAAAAGTTGATTGATTAGTTAAACTGTGTAAATAATTATTAATTACAATATAATCAAATAAAACTAGCGCAGTTTGGTTTTTCTTCTGAAGCCAGTTTTTTGAGCTTTATACATAAAAGCATGCACGAACTTTAAAAACTTTTGCAATTAATTAGTACATTTTAAAAGCTTTCGATTCATTTATTTCCTTTTTTAGCAATCACGTATTGATAGTAACATAAATAAATCTACGGTTTTGTCTAATAAAAATAATATAAATAAATATTATATATTATTGAATAAAAAAATTTGGTAAAATGAGACAAATAAAAGGGGGTTTTTTTTTAATTGAAATAAGATAGAAGGATTCGGTGATACTAATCTTAAAAATAATCATAAAGTAAATATTTGTCCCTATTAAATTTGTAAAAAATTTCTGAAAGGTCGAAAACTTTATCCTTACGTTCGTAGTGATGTTACAAGTGAAATTGAAATCTATGATTAATATGGAAGAGTGTTTGGGTGCTAAATTATGACAGAGTAAATTCATTAAAAACAATTTATGTTGTAAAAATAGTGGGTTGCATAATGAAAGCTGTGTTAGAATTATTTACTTTTCAAAAATTAAGTTTTTTCGATTAGAAAGATAAAAATAATCCTTTGAGAAAATTTCAATTGTGTGAAGTAATCCCATCCGTCATCTTTAATGAGCCGTATTCCATTTATCATTATCATTATAAACAAATACTGTATATTTTGAATCGAATTAGACTAAATAGAAAAACAACAAATGAGAGCCTTGTATTTTTTCGTTCGGATGATTTAATATTTGCTGAGTTAGTACTGAGTTTTCTCTGAGTTAATACTGATTTTATGATCTTTGTTTCTTCGTTTATTACACCACATCTTTATTATTTTCCTTTTTAAGATTATTCGGAAAAATTTTTAAATTCAACTCTCTATATAATAATCATACGATGTTCGTTCGAAAAATCAAACAAATCAAAAAAATCAAAATCAAAATCAAAATCAAAATTATGAATTTATTACCCGACACAATAAAAGAGAATATTTTTATATTCACTCTCAAACCTCTTTTCCTAATTTTGCTCGATAAAAAATGGTACGAAATATCGTGCGAATCAAGAATTCGAGCAAAATGGGTAATTCAAAATTACGGAAAAGCAAATGCCTTATTTCATTCAATCCGACTCGGAGAGAGTTTTATCTCAATGGAGTTGGTCAAATTTCTCATCACAGAAGAAAAAGTGATTTTATCTAGATATCTTTCACAACGATTGCTTTTACAGTTTGGGAAGACAGATAATGCTCTGATGGAACTAACCATCAGTAATGGCATCAATAACAATAATAGTAATGCAAATAACACGTCCAAAACTACACGAAATTATTTTAAGAGCCCATGGGCTTCAAGTATTCCATTACCTGTATTCATCTATTTGTTAAAGGAGGCCAGAGAACTATATGGCGTAGATCTTCCCTTAAAAGGAAATGATATTGAATCGTTTCATTTCTTAACTGGTGGACCGTTAGCTATAAACTTGGCACCAGAAAAATTAAAAGGAAACCTTGAAAGAATTAAGGATCTTATACTTAATAAAAAATTTGTACCTTTTCCTCCAAGACCAACAGCTTTGTTTGAAGACACAATTGAATACCAAAAAGAAATGCAAACCATAAATTATGAAAAATATCCAGCCAAAGATGGTTTTGAAAATAATGAACAATTAAACATAATTGCTAGAGCAATATTAATTTATCCAGAAATTGTGGAGCTATGGAAACAAATTGGTTACCCTGACATATGTATTGATGTTAATAATTTGGTGTTACAAGGCTCTTTGTTAATTCTATATAATCCAAATGAACATTGTATCTCTCCAACCATGGATGATTTTGTTGAATGCATACAACAATTCATAAAGATTGGATTCAAATTGACAAAATCTGTTATGGTGAATATTTTATTTTTGTATGAACAACATCTCACCAAAATTGGAGAAACACTTATAGAAGCATTCCAAAAAATAATGGACCAACCAAAAATTGAAATTGTTGGACGTTGCATTTTGGAAGCTATCAAAATCAACAGGAATTTAAAAAATCATCAAGTTTTAGATTTTCTCAAGGTTCAACTCGAAGAAAATGATTTAGAACCTGTTTGTCTTGGAGCTCTAGTTTACCATTATTTTGATGATACTACTAGGAACAAAATTGAATTTCAAAATTTTAAGTCAAGTAGCTTTTATATTCTCATCAATGACAAAATTTCCAAACTTGACAACAACACCAATTTGACAAGCAACAAAAAAATTATTGAAGATGAAGAAGAACCTATTAATTATTACTATACTTATGATTATAAATCTCATCCACATGATGCAAGAACATTGAAATTAAATAGTAATTTGTACAAATGGGTACTAAAAAATTTCAAACCTGATTCAATTATCACAAGATTATGTTTCAATGATATAATTATATCCAAGATTTGGATTGATAAAGAATTGTTACTTCATCCTGAAAGACAGATACCAGAACAAATGACCAGTTGTGAATTTGAACTGATCATATTTACTTACAAAGAATTTTGTAAGAATAATGTTCCATTTGAATTGGCACATTTGAACTTATTAAAGAAATCAAATGATCCTACAACTTTGGCACCATTCTTTGAAGGTTTCTTACCACAAATTTTTAATATTAACCCAACATTTGATTATCACAATGTCAATAATAATATCAAAGAAAAAGGTTTAAAAGATCAATTAAAATCACAAAATCAACCTCTTTTTCAATATCTTGATAATCATGAAAAGAAAATTGAAATTGAAGAAAGAACAAAACTTTGGTTTATTGAATTGAAAAAGATTAATTCTCAAATCAACACACAATTTAATGTCACCACCACACATAATAATAATGATCAGTTTACTACAAATTTTAAAACTTGTATGAAAAAGTTTTGGGATAGAATTGTGTTGGAAACTGATTACATTAACAAATTTGAATCTAAAAAAGAAAAAATGCATTGAATTGTGGAAAAGATGGATCAAAAGCTCAAAAGATCAGCTAGGGCGAGGAAATTGGATTGTAAACAGGATGAAGGTAATTGGAAATCCAAATTAGTTGATGAGAACTTGAAAGAAGTACAATTTTTCTATATTATTATTTATTGTTGTTGTTGTGTTATTTAAGATAACACATATTAATTTAATTTTTATTATATTGAGCTTGACACGTAATAATAAATATTTATCATTATTTATATCGTAAGGACTTTGAGGATGAAGTGTAATTTCTATGATTTAAAAATTTCTTCCTAGTTTATGGTATTAAGCGGGAAAATTTTTGCCTGTAAGCATGCTATCTTTTTTACGATTATGTTACCAATTATTATCTAGGAGAGTATATTAATTGATGACTATGATTATGTGTATCATAATGAATTGGCTATTACTAACGAATTGGTTTTATTAGCAGATAATCTTGTTTATTGATTTAAGAAAATGTTTATTTATTTTATTTAATCGAATTTATTAACTTATTTCAAAGTTAACTTGTTACAAAGTTATTTTTCAAATAGGCCGAATTCAAGCTTCTTTCTTATATACAATCAAATTAATTAGTGATATTATCTACTATTCTATGTTTTTAACACATTATTATGTCCTTGAAACTACTCTATGTTAAATAGTGTTGGTTTCCAAAACTCGAGAGTTTCGCAACCGTGCGAAAGTCAAAAGGTTTCTCCATAAGTCGAAACTAGTTTTGACATATAACTTTTAATTTTAGTTTTGACTTTCACCTCTTCAAAATAGTTTTGGCGACCAACACTACTGTTAAACATAAAGTTTATGTCTCTTGTGTAAACACAACTTTATGTATTGCGCGAAAGAAACATACCTACTAAATAAAGTTAAATAACTATTACGATACGAAATAAATAAATAAATATATTTATACGTAATACAAATAAATAAATAATAATAATAATAGATAAATGGGATTTTAAATATCATTTTAATCAAAGGGTGGTGGCAGAACTTTTAAAGCTTACGGAATATATGTTAACCAAATTTGGTGATTATTGTTACACTAAAGTTTATTATCATTATTTATTATTATATGAAAAAATTGTATATACAAAAAAGGCAATGCCAATATGGATTCTAAAGATATTCACATTTCCATAAAGGGATTAGTTAAGTGTTGGCAATTTAACTGGTTCAATATTTTTTTGAACTATTTTGAACTTTTGAACCGTTAATTGGTTAAATAATCGATTAATTTTGTTAATATTAAATAATAATAACTTGCAATCATTTGAACAGTTATTTAACAGCTATTTAATCAACGTGCAGGTCATTTAACTAATTGAAAATTATTTAATATTAACAGATATTATATGTAATTGTAGATATTAAAGCAAATAGTGCATGACAATTGCATATTTTTTTGTTTGCAAATTGTACACATACTAATTGCTTAATCTCCACAATTGCATATAATATTTGATATTGTTTTCCGGATGAACTTTAATTTTAATTAAAGGAAAGTATAACATTTATTTACACCTTGGTTTAAAAATTTATCAATTCGGCACAGCTTAAAAGCTGATAGGAAATAACAAAAAGATGTAGGCGAAAAATTGTAGAAACAAATTAATCAATTTATGTCATGTGGTTACTTAACTGACTGTTCAAAAGTTAAATATTCATCACTGCCAACATTGCTTTCTTTATAACAAACCTCATGTCCTAGCAGGAAAAAATAACTTCATAAACGAGCTCACAAGTTAGCTCGTGAGAACTTTAATGATGAAAGCCACCATACTTCTTTCCCAACGCAACGTTGTATATAAAATCGGCTCAATTAATTTGATGATAATAAATGTTTAATAAATATTGATATATTATGTATATAAAAAAATTTTTTCATTTTATAATAAGTTTATATATTTATTTAGTTTTCCTATTATAAATAAAGCTTTCTTTATATGGAACAGGCCAATCCTGTTCGTTCGAAATAATTTCTGTTATTTATGTAGTGCATTAAAATCTAATGTATAACATGTGGAGTTATCCGTCCGTTATAGAGTATATTAATATATTAATAATAATGTAGTAATAATAATAATTAATATAAAATAAATCCACAGAATTTAATGTAAAATCTCATTATTATAATCGATGTTAGTAATTTGACATAACGGGTTTTTATCCATTTCGATTTATCAAGCCTATCAGCTATTATTATATTCATTAGCATTTAATTTGAGGAAAAACGAACTTCAAGACTGTCCGCAAAAATATTTTCATATATAGAAACAGTTATTCTGGGTAAGGCTAGACCTTGTGTTTTATGGACTGTGGGTGCAAAAGCATTCTGAAGTGGAGATTGTTTCCTAGGAGCCATCTTTCCATTGAGTTCAAAATAGCTTATTTCTTTTTCTGCCACTACTCTGCTAAAACCTTTATATTTTCATTGCCAATAATTTTTGTCACTACTCCTGCTATTCCATTACAAATCTTCTCTTCGAATAATTTATTATTTGAGAACAAGATTCCAACAACTTTTTGAAGATATACTTTTTTTGGGTAAATAGTATCTGATGAAACGATCCTCATTAAGATTTTGTCATGATAACCAATTGCTCGTTATCGATTACTTATTCAGCTACTCGATAATTCAACATTCAACATTCAACATTCAACATTCAACATTTTAGATTCAACGTTGAATTACTGGGTATTTCTATAAAATGCCTTTTCTTTTTGTGGAATAGCAAAATCCTTTTTTTATTATTTTATTTTTTTGTTGTATTAATTCAATTCTGTTATATTCATAAACGAATGTTTATAAATAAAGAATACAATTTTTATGGCGTCATATAGGTGGAATTGTCTCTTAAAGGCGAAAATCAAGACAAGAAAACATTCACCTTATTTTTTTTGATCTCATGCTTCCCAAAAGTTATGTTTTATAAAATTTTGTTTTCAAAGCTTAACATTAAACATTAATGTTAAATACTTAATATTAAAAATTTCTATAAAATACGTTTTTGATCCAAAATCCACAATTCTATTACAAGGGGAAAAAACATAGTAACCACATTATATAATATATTTTATCCCATTTAATTCATATATATATATATTTGGTTTTTTCATTCTCTAGGAAACTTTTATATTCATGTGCACTCACCTACCATAAATATCTGACCACCTACCTGATGATCATTTTAATAATTGGGAAACTTATACCTCACGCAGTTCAAAACTTTATTAACCAAACTGGGACTGATGCTTTAAGTAAACATGTTTTTAAAGTTAATTTGAATATAAATTTAAAGCCTTGTCGAGTTTTCATTATTAATGAATTTAGAATGAAAATTTTAAATTAGACAAAACTCCGTGATTTTTATGAAAACTTTGGGCTTTGTAAAAAGGTTCAAACTCTAATGAACCATAAATTATGTATTAAGTAAGCCCACTTAAAATAACTTAAATTATATATGGTTAAAATTTGAGAAAAATTGATCAAGTATAAACAACAAAACGTAAAACCTTAAAATTTGCTTTTTGTCAACTTTATTATAATA